ATTACCTTCTGGTGTAAAAGTTTGTGATTTACTTGAATCAAATCTATTATGATTTTGACAAATAGCGGATGTACAATCCTTATTTGGAATCCAGAGATTTGATGACCCGGTATCTAAAAGAACATTGAATTCTTGTTTTCCAATAGTGATTGCTCCATAATAGGTAATATCTATCAGGATATCTTTTACAGATAAGGTGCATTGGCCTTTCTTTTTGTCTGAATCTATCTCGTTGGATATTGTTGCTACATCGGATGATATTCCATGCTTTAAAGTTGTTGCATTGGAGGATGTTTCATTGTTAGGAGTTGTTCCATGTTTAGAAGTTGTTACATTGGAGGATGTTTCATTGTTAGGAGTTGTTCCATGTTTAGAAGTTGTTATATTGGAGGATTTTTCATTGTTAGGAGTTGTTCCATGTTTAGAAGTTGTTACATTGGAGGATGTTTCATTGTTAGGAGTTGTTTCATTGGAGGATGTTTCATTTTTAGAACTTTTTACATTGGAAGTCGGATTAAAATCTTTATAGTTAGAGTATTTACGTTTGACTTCATCCCTTATAGAATTTACAAAATCCATTGAATTGTCCTCATTTGTCATAAAAGCCCTTTTTTTTTACTAACTCAATGGTAGGCAATTGCTTGTGATTAGGATATGCATTTATGATAGGAACGGGGACTATGGATAAGATTATAAAAAGAAATTTTAATTTCATGGTTGCTATTAAGAATGATTACTATTAAAAGCGTATGAATCTTAATTTTCGTTAGATTATGAAAAAAAGTGAATTACAATATTTCCACGAAGCCCTGAAAATGTTTGATTTTATTTCGTTCTTGTGTATTACAAAAGTCTTTGGACATGTAAAATGACATAATAAATTTTCAACAATGCATGTAATATAATCTTTGAAAATATGTAAGTTCATGTATGTAAACGTCGTAAAGTTAAATACTGTATTAGATATGTGGTAACTAGCCTACGGAACCAATATGCGTCGGGATAAAGGTCTCGCTAATAAAAACCAACAGCTAACACTGCCCAAAATGCTAGGCTCTTACAGGAAAGACTTGCACCGTGTAATTATTATTATAGCGACTAGAGCTCTTGATTACATTATTTCAAAATGCCAATATAAATGTGTGAAGAGGGTACTCTGAAGATAGTATTGATCATGTTAATTGACAAAAATATAACAAGATCATTAATTCGGATTACGAACGTAATAAATTACTACTTGATTAGTTTTCAAAATGTTAGAATTTACAATTGAATAGATAATTTTTCAAGAAGAGTACTGTATGCAGTGCTGTACAATAATTCTGGATTTACGGGTTGTGTCACTGTTATTATTATTATTATTTTATTATTATGAAATTTTTAACCGCGTATTAGGATCCTATAGCAATTGTGAGTCGATTTTGAGCAAGTTTTGTAAAAATTTTGCATTTTGAATTGGTTTTTAGTCAAATAAGTGAAGTTACAAAATGTTTATGTTTTTATAACCATAATTAGTCTGGAGTAAATTTATAACGGTTTGTATTCCTAATTGAATACTGTCTAATTGCATATTGTCTAATTACTAAATGCATAAAAACTTTAAATATTAATACAAAAATGCTTCTTATAATCTAGATGCATATACTTACTGTCTAAATAAATATTGACGGATGGCTTCCTTCATATTGAAGACAAGAGGTGTTACTTTTAATACAGTATGTTTGTCGTGCCTGAAGTTGAACATCGTCTGAAGTTGTAATTACAGGTGCATGAAGCTGCACTTGACTGAAATTAGCTTTGAAATTAAATTACCTTGTACGTCCATATGGGCGGATTTGGCTCATCAGAGTACGTATTCTGATTGAAAATTACTAAAAAAGGAAATAAATCCAATAAAAATCTTGCTTTTGATTTTGCATATCAAAAAATATCAAAACCAAAGAATTTTATTGGATGTTTGCTTTGATTTATTTCCTTTTTTAGGGGTCGTCTAAAGCCAGTACCCACGTGACTGTTTTGTGTAAATCAACCAACCAGAATTGCGAAATTTTGTTTACGGATCAGCCCGAAGAAGTCAAAAAAATAAAGAAAACGCAAAAAGACGAAAAACGGCAGTTTTAACCTATCTTGGGGCACTAATTGAAAATGTCGGGAAGGGAATTTTACCCACATTCCTCTTTTATATCAACACCAAACTAACCCTAATCCTAACCTTAATTTTAATTAAAACAATTAAAACGTCAAAATCACGTGGGTACATGGCTTTAGCCATCCCTTTTTTAGTAATTTTCAATCAGAATAAATACTCTGATGAGCCAAATCCTCCCATATGCTTAGCTAGAATAGCATAGCAATAACTCGTATCCGATAGATTCCAAAATCATTGTTACACAAACTATTTATATGGACAATTGAAAATTTGATATGTCGTAGTTTAAAACCCGGAAATTTCACTATCTGTTAACTCATGTTTATTAATAAATTTTTTTCGTTTAGAGTGTTTCTAGTAGAAAATCTTTTCTAATCGTTTTCAATCGCTTCCCCATGGAGTTTTCATAAGAATAAAGGTTTGGTAATTGGTAGAGTTTATTGAATTTCTACTACGTTTAAATTATTAGATTTATAAAATGTTAAATCATAAGTATTATACTAATAAAGATTTTATGCATTTATTAAATAGGCCAAGCGATATAAAGCTTTTAGCAAGGTTTATTTACTTGAACCAAGAACATATATATTTATTATTTATTAAACAGATAAGATAACTGAGATCTTTAATATATAGTAAATATGGTGATGCGGTCTAATTGATAGTATAGTCCAAGGATAGCAACACACGACAATATGTTTTTAGTAAAGTATAATAGTTAAAAGTTGGATTAGAATTACTTTGGATTTAGAAAAAGCTTCGTTTTTGTTCATAATAAATTTATTTCGCGAAACGAAAAAATTTTAATTGATTTGATTGGTTAATAGTCACGCATGGATCTACATAAATTAACCAATCATATAAATGTTATAACCCATGATTTTCGTAAAAATACAAGTTATTGCTACGCTAGCTAGAATTTAGGCAGGAGATTTTAGGTGCAACTTCAGCAATGCTTAAAATTCAGAACGAAAGTTACTTGCACAAACATATACAGTCAGATCTCTCTAAATGCATAGCCGAGGAGCGGCCAAAAAAATCTTGCATTTAGAGAGGTATTGCATTTAGGGTGATAAAAATCTATAAGTGTTATATGAGTTGAGGTCATGGAAGGACATTCGTCTGATTGGTTGATGTAAATCAATTACCCGGGTAACTTATTTATACACTTTAAAGTACTTTTTTAAAACACAACGTTTCACTAACAAAAAATCACTGCAAAAGCTATTTCCAACTTTGAAAGAACGTCAAGATTCAGTGTGAAAAATAATCAAACAAACATCATACTCCTGACAAACTTTGCTTAGAAGACAAAGTATACTACCGTTTATTGGACCATGCGAAGTTATACTGTAGAGTAAAGGTAACTGGAAAGTTTTTCATTTAAAACTACTTTATTACGTTAGATTTAAATGAAATTTTATTGCTAACGTTTTAAGTTGAATAGGTATGAGCTCTCTAGTGATAGGAGACCAGGTTTAATGTTTAAATTTGGTTGCTCTTGTAGTATGTTTAGGTTAGTCAACCGTAAATCAAACTTTTGGGTTTATATCTTGTAGATTCTTTAATTAGTTCGGGTTTATTAATAATAAATAACACTTTTATCCCACTTTGCATATATCTACCTACTCTCTAAAGTATATGTTATAAAATCTTTCATTGTATTTATTAGTTTGTGTATTTCTTGTATTAGGTTTTTTTTCATTTTCTAGTAGTATTATTATGACAAATCTTCATGTATTTTGATTGGTTGATTATCATGGAAAATCACAGGTAGATCTACAAAAATCAACTAATCATAGGAATGTCTTCTCATAAGAGTTGAGGTCAAATAAGGTTATGCATTTAGAGAGGTCTTTTATAGACTATACATATATACATTTAGGAAATATACATTTAGGAAGGTTTGATTGTATTTATATATTTATTTAAAATTTAATTGTACTATCAGCAAAATTTTAGAGATGCTATATATCAATAATAAATCATAGATTACAATCAATATGTAACTCCTGTCAAGTATTATCATTAGTAGTTACTAATAATATATAACAAAAATTTGTTAAATTTCTTTAAACTTTAACATTAATTTTTTCAATAACTACTAATCAAAATCAGCACAAATTTTACTATATATAGATTGTATACTCAACTATAATATAGTTAAATTTCAGCCAATTTGAATTAGTAGTTCTTGAAAAATCACTTGTTAACAATAGTTGATTTTTTAAAAAAAGCAACTATTGGCAATAAATGATTTCTCAAGAACTACTAATTCAAATTGGCTAAAAATTTTACTATATTATAGTTGAATATATAATCTATATATAGCAGTGTTAGCAAATGACATCATATAACCAATATGACTTATATGAATTGTCATAAGTCATATGTCATTTAGAAAGAGTATATGACTTATGATCTTAATAATATATTTTAATAAATGATTTTTATATATTATATATTAGAGGTTTTAAAGTTAAAATGCGGAAATCTAATTTTAATTAAAATTGGTTACAAATTTATTTTCAAATAAGTAATATGTATACATTATTGGGCAAAAATTGTTGAATAATGGCAATTTGGCTCAAACGGACTAATGATTGGCTGGCATGTGCCGCAAAGCGGCACGTGTCCAGCCGATCATTTGTCCGTTTGAGCCAAATTGCCATTGTTCAACAATTTGCTCAATAATGGTGTTATCCGGCAATTTATGAACATGGCCCGATTCATCCAATTTACAAATATTTAGATCTAAAAAAAAAGATGGTAGATCAGTATATAAATTACATCTCTTTTCTTTTTAAAAGCGAAAAAAAATTTTTTCTCCTCTTATTAAAAGCGAAAAAAAAAATTTTTTTAAAAGCCTTTTATGACTTTATAATAGTGAAAGCCCTATACTATAAGCTTGAAACCATCATTAGTAAAACATGTAGTTGCCATTACGAAGTTCTTGGTTGCTGGTTGCCAAAATTTGAGTTACCGGTTATGTTACTGTGCCAATTACTGAAAGATTCAAGGTTGTAATTTCTTCCTGAACACACTTGAACCTACAAAGCAAGCAAAAAAAAAAAAAAAAAAAAAAAACGATTTAATGTAAAAAAAAAAAAAAATATTAATGTAAAGTTTCTTCATAAAACCAAA